ATGGGGCAGGATCTAGTTGTCTTTGAAACAGTCTCTACATGCTATAGAACAACACACAACAAGACGTAAACAACACCACTATGGATATCAGCCATTGGGACGGTCCACCATGCAGTGTAAAAGACGCAAATACATCCTATTTCTAAATAAGTATCTCTATTTGCTTTTGACTCAAAAGAAATGCCCAAGTCGCCAAAGCTGTTTAAAATGAGCCAACATATTTGTTGTTTCGCTCCATCACTGTAGCATCCCGCCCACTAAAGATGGAGCCCTGTGATTGGCAAGGCAGAAGACAGTTTGGGCCAGCCGAGGCTCTCATGGAGTTTGACTAGACCAACACGCAGAGCAAAATCATTGTGCTTTCTAGAATACCAAATAACTTATCTTGATGTGGAAACATTAAAGTAATAAAATGTGAAACACCCGCGCCAATCATCTCAGTTATACGGGTTCTAGTGTGGGAAAGTGGCTCTTAGGGAAATATATTAATTATGTGATATAACGGTCTTCCACACCTCCTTCTGTTGCTTGTTTTCACCTTGGACCAGATATTCGTCCACTGATCAGAACTGTTAGATATTTTATTGGTTAAAGTTTAACATCAATCAAAGCAACACACCCCTAATCATTCATAAATTAAAGCTTTCATTACAGATGAGTTGCAAAAAAATTCACCCCCTCAGTTATCATGACGATAAACTTGACCTGTTAAACGTAGGTGCCTGAAAAAAATGATTCACATCAAAACCGTGATTCTTATTTAAAAAGATTCTGAATCGATTAATAAAGATCTGGAATCGATCCTTTCCAAAAGCCTTTATGTAAATTATTGTATTTCCGAGCGTTCCTGAACGCATCATTGCTGGAGCCAGCGCTAGCCACACTGCTCCACTGTTGAAATATGACAGAATTACCTTAATTATTATGCTGTGTGCGTTCTGAGTCCAGAAGTAAGTTCCAGTATGCTTTATAATGTTTAAATGGTGTTATCCTGGTTTTTGTTGTTGTTGTTGTTGTTGTTGTTTCATGTGGACTGCACCGTGCATAACTGATGCTTATTAAAACTAATTACATGTTACTGGGTAGTGTGAACACATTCTACTGGATGTTATAAAACCTGCTTGACATGCTTCACATGTACCGACACATTGCATTCTCTCTTTCCTCGCTTCTTCAGACCACACACACATTTACACACACACACACACACACACGCATTCTAGTTTACACTCTAGTTGACACTTTGTTACTAAGAGAATTGATAGAAAATCGATTTTTAATCGAATCGCCACCCCACGAATCTGAATCGAATTGGGTTGCCGTAGAGCTGGGCGATATGGCCTAAAATCAATATCATGATATATTGAGGATTTCACCTCGATAACGATAAATGAGAGATAACTACAGAAAAACAATTGACCACTAGATGGAGCTGTCACATGTATTATGTTTTTTTAAGTGACTCGAGGAGCTTCTCAAAGGTACATGAACGTTACTAACCTACACATCTTTTCATTTTTTTATTATCAAATTTATTGACATGAGAAAAATTATCTCGATAACAGTCGGAAACTTCGATAAAGATACATTTTTGATTTATTGTCCAACCCTGAGTTGTTGTAAGATTCATATCCCTACTTTTAAACCCAAAATGTTTTTGTATTAGGATGTAAACATGTTCATTCTTGCTGTGAGGTTGACATTTTTCACATGGGACTCAATGTGACTTTGCTCCTTTATGGTGCCAGCCCCTAGTGGATGAGGGGGGGACTGCAATCTTGCTGTTTTAGCAGCCTGGGATTGCCCTCTTGGCTGTAACAGATTAGATGTGAGTGCTTTACTCCAATCAAACATCAAATCATGAAGCAAAAAATCAGGTTCTGCAGTGCAGTTGTCTCCTGCTGCAACGCAGCACGGAGCTTCAGGCTACGTAAATGGAGAGCAGTTCCTTAGTATAGAGCTCCGGACCCCACGTGACTCTCAGTTAGTAGACGCCATATTGGCAGGAAAAAAAGGTAAACAAACAGGGATGTAACCATGAACGTGAACGGGATCGGTTTGGATTTTACTTCGTCGGAGTTTACTTCACACTTTAAAACCGAAGAAATCGTTTTATATAGTCAGAAATTAAATAGACTAAACATCTCCGACCCTTACCGTGTCCCTGGGATACTTTTTAAAAATGCCAGAAGCTGTCGGAGCGGACTTCTTACCGGCACAACACCGGACCTGACCGGGGAACCCCTTGGGATTTACCCGGAGGAGCTGGCTCCGGCGGCTGGGGAGAGGGAAGTGAGGGCCTCTCGACGCTACTGCCCCCGCAACCCGACTCCAGATAAGCGGATGAAAATGGATGGATGGACAAATAACATATTTACACGTAAGAAGTTTAAATAGAGTGCTGTGCTGTTTGAATGTATAAACTGAACACCAAGAGAAATCACTGATTTTTTTCCTGTGAATAAAATAAAAATGTCAGGCAGGAGCGTCTCAGGATCTGTCTGAGATCCGTCTCGGTGAGACAGATAATAGCAATCCAAAGTGCTTTTTATGTGTGATCTGACAATTGATCAACCATTGCTTAAAAATGAAATACAGCTTAGCCGGTTAATTGCTGTGATCATAAAACACGTAAACGGCAGCACGCAGAACTCACGAGGCAACGTTTTACGTGATGTTTACTTGTTGCTATGAGTAATAAGACAGAAAAAGCCACGCCAAAATAAGTTTAGGAAGCCCACTAAGAATCGTAATAAAAGCATTTAAAATAAATACCATACACAGTTGAGGAAACGTTGGTTTAAGTACCTGATATGAAGCGGTCGCTGCATAAGTGAAAACCTTTACTCTCGGGATCCCACAGCTTCATTTTAGCCCGGTCACTAGCGCGTTTTATTACAATGATCCAACGTTTGCGGCGCTCCGGATCTTGGGGAATCCTGTAGATGGCTCATTCCTTATGTCGTCCGCGTCTGTTCTGCATCCTGGGGTACAACAGGAATCTACCATATTTCCCGTCTGATTGAGTTTTCTGACAATAACAAACAGTCCAGCTGCAGGCTTCTGCCTGCCAATATGGCGCCGTTTCGATTTGAACTGTTGCATGCCGGGAGAAGTGACGTCAACTCCCGGAGCTCTACTGGAGTACTTTAACAAGTATGAGTACACAGCCACTGTATCGGCCCAATACCTGATGTTTGTGACACATCAGGGGATTCACGGCTTGTTATCTACACACACCAATCTTCTCACCAATGTCTCCATTTAAATATAAAAAAAGTGTCTGTTTCCTCAAACCTCCAGACTCTGCAGCATGGCTCAGACAGGTTATCACTTCAGCTGACACACACACACACACACACACACACACACACACACACACACTCTGGCACATTCAGCCACAAGTATTTGGAAATTCCTTATCTATCCACACACTGCTGAAATCCTTTGTCTCCTGTTTCAGGAAGACACACACACACACACACACACACAACTGAGTTGATACCCAAACAGAAACTGTTGTGACTCGCCTGATCCCCAGGTCACCGAGTGTCATGCACGCTCACCTCTAACGACCTGGAGCTCTCTGCGTCTGTCACACAGCCAGCAGGATCTCCACCACTAATCACCTTCTCATAGGTTTGCTGGCAGCTATATGCTGTCTCCTTTGTGTGTGTGTTTGTGTCTCCATACAAACAACTGAGATGTACAACTCCTGAGCTGACATGCAAGAGGTGCTGGTTCAAGTCCTGACTCATTCATTTAGCAACACCAAAATCAACATTTGTATCTATGGGTGAATAAGAATCAGAAGAAAACTACTCAAAGGGGGAAAAACAGCAGCCTGTTGTTTTTCTGCAGCCTAACATGTTAATTTATTTATCTGTTTTTAGCTCATTTAATTGTGTGGAACTAACCACACAACTAAATGTTTACGACTTATTACAAAGAAGGCATAAAAGGAAACAGTCATGGCAGAGAAAAGCCCCATTACTGATTATTTTTTATTTAGTTTAATATGAAACGGAAGATCATGATGGCAAATGGGAAGTGTTCATATCCGTTAAATGTCAGATTTTTATTGGCAGGACAATAATTAGACGAGTGACAAACTAACACATCTCTTCTGTTTTTACTTTTTGGTCAAATCTGAATGGAACAAATCAGCAAGCAGCTTTTATCATCGGACAAAGAAAACCTGACTCAATCCAAAATGTAGGTTTCACATGATTTCATGTATCTCACGCACAAATCCTTCTAAACCACCCTGGTCCTGTGTGGAGAAGAAACTGACCCCTAAACGTAACAACTCTCTGTAACACGCGGTGTTCATGCTAATGAGCTTTGCCCCACTCTTCTTTATGGAAGGACTTCAGCCATATTGGAGGGTTTACCTGCAGGAACAATCAATTTAAGGTCAAAGGTCACATTGTCTCCTTCAAATAAAGACGAGCTGAATTCATGGTTCCATCAGTTACAGGAAGTGGTCCAGGTCCTGAAACCAGATCATCAAACTACCACCACCGTGCTGACTGCTGTTTTGCTGTTAGTTTGACTCCAGTAGATGCTTCTGCTGTATAAATATTCTGACAGAATACTTCTGCATCCTCCTCGAGTCTTTGGGTTGTTTTGACCAGCAGAGATTCTGTGTGACTCGTTGCTTCTTGAGATCTTTGGGCCTGGGTTGTGTGGTTAGAGAGGGTCTATGGAAGTCATTTCTCAGGTTGTGGGCGGTGTCTAGCACAACCAAACTATTTAGAAACTAAACTACTTTGATAATAGCTTCTAATAATTGAAATCCTCGTTTGAAAAGTGAATTTTGTTTACTCAGGTTGTTTTTTTTTCTAATGCGAATCTTTGCTCGTCCGAACAAAAGCTAAAAAGCTAAAGAAATCTGTTCGGGGATACTTTGTCGTTGACTCTCGCTGTGCCTCCTAACAACCGTGTGGGCCAGCTGAGGTTAAAGTTACACCGTAACAACATGTGAACTGCGTTTTTACCTCTGCGTTAAAGCCGCTCTCGTCCTCCGCTCCACGCGCACAGCCCGCGCACAGCCACAGCGCGAGCAGCAGGGTCCGTCTCCAGAGCAACCAGAGGCAGCTGTCCCGTGAGGAGGAGGCCATGGCGGTCGGGGCGTGGGTCAGTTCTTTTGTGTTTCAATCCAGCCGGTGTAGCGCGTGAGTTAGTACCGGAGTCCAGCAGCTGAACGCGGGCGGGCACAGCCCCGCTTCACCTCTAGGGTAGAGCTCCGCTGCTGTGGAAGAGCTCCATCAGTTACCGGACGTTCACCTGTCTGCAGAGCTCCCCTCGGTTATCACTAACGGGAGTTACCCGCGTGAGCGCGCATCACTTCATTTACATCAAAGCCTAATCACTAACCTTCAGCGCGCGCGCCTTTGGCACGGGCGCGAGAGAAACTTCTTCTGTTGTAGTTTTTAACACTTTTGTTAGACTGTTTTAAATAAAAACGAAACGCCTGACGGCTACCTGCTCTGGTCCACTCGCACAACGCTGTTCCCGTGAGAAAGCCCGCAGCTACAGTTACAGACACGCGCGGAGTTCACCGACTCCTTCAGCCGGAACCGAAGCCCGGTTCTGTGCCGCTGACACCCCACCGCAGCAGCTCGGAACCTCCAGCGAGTCTTTGTGCGTCAGGCTAAGTGATAGCAATATCATGTTCCTTTAGGAGAATGTCAAAATAAAAGCTTCAGTCCAGTTCCCAAACAAACTAACATTAACTTATTTTTTACCAACGTTGTTAAATAAAGAAGTACTTTGTTACTTTACTTCACTAGAAATTTTGGGTATTTACTCCAATGGAATAATTATTTATTTTTAAAAATAACACTGTTTTGTGCCAACTTGTCTCTGATTAAAAATCACAAAGTTTAAATATTTTCCAGATACTTTTGCAATGCATACTTTGGTTGAACATGATTTTGTATGTGATCCATTACACACTGTGCTTGACACAAACATCACAGACCAGCCAGGACATTCATTCGTTCATTCATTCGTTTCTGATAGAATTAATATTTACTGTACATTTGTAATAAACTCAACTACACCAGGGTAATTGTTAACAAAGATGCCAGTTTCATCACCTGTTGTCTTCACAGATTTTTACAGCTGCTGGATGTGCATTAACATTATTAACATTCTAATAACAATTATTGATAAAAAGCCGAACTAAAGTACATAGTATATAATGTATATAGCACTTTTTAGGACACTCAAAGACTCTTTCATGCACTTTTACATTCACACACTGCTAGTGATGATAAGCTACTATGTAGCCACAGCCGCCCTGGGGCGGTCTGACAGAGGCGAGGCTGCCATTTGGTGCCGTTGGCCCCTCTGACCACCACCAACACAGGCAAGTTGGGTGAAGTGTGTTGCCCAAGGACACAACAGCAGAATACCCCTGGCGGGAGCTGGAATCAAACCCATGACCCTCCAATCATGAGGCAACCCACCTATGTCTATTTGTTATGGACAAATAGACATGCTTTATTGTCAGTAGTCCACATGTGGTTCTTTATTTGCTCTGCACTAGAATGTTTCATTTGAAATGTGCATAAATGTAGCTGATGACGGTATTCTAGTGTACCCCACATTAGTCAACATTAGCATATCACTTTGAGTCATGATGGCCTTTAGTGAAAATGTAGTGGTGCAGTTAAACCTTTTATCCTAAATAGAATTTTGATTTGCACACTAGTACAAGTGAAGCCTGAACTGACACTTCAACTTCAACAAAAGCCTCTATAAACTCGAGTGTGGTGCATGTGAAATCCTTTGACAACCTTGATGTGCTAACACAGAAAGTTAGTTTTATAGCACTGTGGCACATGCTGCTATACATATATCAACATCATTGTTGTACTGTCATGTTCTGTGTCCCTTTGTTCCCCAGCCCCTCCAGTTCCCTCTCCAGGTTCTCCTTTTGTGTTCAAGTGGTGCTCGCTGCAGAACCACAAAGGCGGAGCTGCACCAGAAGGTGGAGCTGCACCAGAGTCAGCCCCGCCCATTCCATCAGAGTCAGTCCAATTCCTTCCAGTTGTCAGGCTTGATAGCATTCTGGAACCAAAAAGGGTGTTATAGCTAAAAAATGCAAGATTGAGGACGGAGTTGAGAAGTTAATTGAATAGTTTTTGTAAAGGTTCCATATAATTAAAAATCTAACTTTTGGAACTTTTTATCATGTTATACTGTCATTTCCTCATAAGAAACACGCCAAAGCCATTTTTGGCCTCATTCATGCATTTTCCTCCCATCTCAGCTTCAATTTGGACTCCTCCCCCGAAGTGGGCCTGGTCTTGGTTCTCAAATCTGGATATTCTGTGAATTTTCTGACAAATTATTTCTGAAATGACTTCTACTGAGACACCACCAATAAACTATACATCCCATCTACAAAAACACACTGGGTAGCACAATTACATGTAACGCCACCTGCATTTTATTAGATGTGGTGGTGTAGTGGTTATGGAGTCAGGTTGGCATGCAAAATTGCGCAGGTTCGCCTCCCTGTAGCAGAAGTATTAAGTACTTTTATTCCCCTTTTCTTCATTTCTAGCTACACTTGCCAGTACTGTGTTTACAACCATTTATTGGTGTACCGTTTAACATATAATGACTAATGTGTTTATTTATTCGTTTATTTAGCCAGTGTGAGTCCATTTGTGAGCAGAGTTTCAACTAAAATGCTGTTTAGGAACGACCAAATTCAAAGAACTTTTAGAGACATAAATATTTTGCTGAAAATAAACATTACAACTAAAATATAAACAAATTAAATGTTTCAGCTGGCTAAATAGATTGCTGCCGACCCACCGAGAATCGAACCACCATCAGCTGAGGTTAAAGCAAAACTTTACACCAACGATCTTGCCACTGGACTACCAGAACCAATTCGATAGTGTTACATGCTGTTGTATGTCACCTTTGTTAGAGCGGCTGTGGGCTGATATTCGTTAACAGAAACTTTTTTATTTCGAGATATATTCTAGCTTTGTCATGTAGCAAGTTATATTTATCTTGTTTAACTGGAGCATAGAACATAGCATTAACGACTGTAAACTAGTAACAGCCGTAATTCATGTGGGTCAGGTTAGTTTGCGATGTTGAAAAACAAAAACGGAAGTCAGTGGGCTAGGCTGAGTTTGAATGAATGGGCGGGGCTGACTCTGGTGCAGCTCCACCTTATGGTGCAGCTCCGCCTTTGTAGGTCTGCAGCGAGCACCCTCTCTTTGTGTTTCATGGCGCCCTCATGTGTCCTTTGTCTGCGTCTCTGTTGTGTGTCTTAAGTTATAGCCCCAGCCTCTTGTTCCCCAGTTCATAGTTTGTGTGTGTCAGTATGTGTATGTGTTTGTGTGAGTTCTTCCCTTAGTCTTTAGGTTTAGTTTTGTGTGTTATATAGTGTTAGGTTTATCTGCCCTCCACTGGTTCTCTTCCCCATCCAGTTAATTGTTGTCACCTGCCTTCCCTCCAGCCTCACTCCACACACCTGCTTCCTGTTTCCCTAATTGCTCCTCCCTGTCTATATAAGCCCTCCTTGTCTCATTGTTCTGGTTGGATCATTGTTGTTTGTTCATGTGTGTTTTGTCCCGTCTCTCCCGTTCCACCATTAAACCCATTTTTACTTTATCCGTGCCTGCATTCCTGCCTCCTGGTCAGCTCCACCACACTTGGTCCATCATCTCCACCATCACAACATGACATGTAGTTTTTTTTAAATAGACGTTAAACCATAAAACTTAATGAATGCAAGGTTTAAAATTAAACTACTTGTTCAAAAGTCCAGTTAGTTGTGACCAAATGTTTTTTTCATTTTGACAGGAAAGCATTTCCGGTATTTGCTTGCGCTCCAGACATGAAGTGCGTCTGTCAGCTGAAGGATGGTAGAAGTAGAGTGGAGCCTCCCCCTACAGCGTAGACGAGGCCTGATGAGATAAGATATTATCCAGTTTGGAGCTGGTCTTATAGATGACCTGCTTTCATTTATTCCCACAAACATGAGAGTGAACTCCGGCACATAGTTGTTTAAACTAACTAAAACAACACAAATAATACGGTCGATGTGCTTCAGTAAAAACAGTAGTCTAGTATTTCTTGTACCGGACCCACATTTGATGAACAAAATAAGGATTTATGAAGATTTGATTTAAAACGATGTGCAGGAGATGAACCACTAGAGATGAAGAGAGTACGGATTATTCACTTCCTGTCTATTTGATTTAAGTCTCTGCTTTCATATGGCAACTCTTAAGGTCCAACACGGTCTCTAAAAATTTAAATATATAAATAGCTCACAAACAGGTGAATGTCCAAAGCAATAATCAAGTTAAAAAACAGACAATGTTCTGGAAATCTGCCAGTCTATTTCCATTCCTGAAGCCCATTTTCACAATAGAAATATAAAAAAGAGCAGGTAAAACACCTGTAATCCTGTTTTACACAGTCTGTGTGTGTGTGTGTGTGTGTGTGTGTGTGTGTGTGTGTGTGTGTGTGTGTGTGTGTGTGTGTGTGTGTGTAAGATTGTAAATTTCAGTTCCTTGAGAAGATGGATTTTAAAAGCAGATGGAATGAATTAGTTTATTCAAGAGCTTTTGTAAAAGTGTGTATTTATGCTATGATTATGTAAATTATAGTGTATTAGTGAGTTTTAGTGACAGTAAAGATTACTAATGGAAATAAATATCAATCAGAAAGGTTTCTAATTCCATTTTTGGTTCTTTTTCTGCTCTCTAAATCTCCAGGTGTTTCGTAGCTAACTTGTTTGTCAGCAGTAGATCCATCACCAGAGTCCAAATTCATCAACTCCTGCGGTCACCAGCAGTATGCACCACCCCAACACATGGAAATCCTTCGCCAATGGGGCTCATCCTGGCAGGTTTCTTTTATAACAAATAAGAACTCTATTTTACAACACTTGTTCCAACAAGAAACCACACCTAAGTGTACGCGTGTTGTTTCTGTCCTAAAGTTGTAATATGACCTAGGCTGCTAATCCCACAGCTACCTAAAGAATAATACACACTCACAGATGTGTATATAAACACATAAATGTCAGGTGGCTTTTTCTGTCCTCTATATGGAAATTTTGTAGTCTGTAGAAAATTCAAATCAAACAAAAACAAAACATGATGCACAAGCAGTTACTTTCTAAAGCACACCCTGAGTCGGTATTTCCATGTGAAATGCAAATTAGTGAACATTTCCCATATGATCTTAATGTCATCTGAAGTTATAGATGGTGCTTTATTTTTCTAAAAGTTCAATTCTTGGTGTCAAACTGGAGGGAAAAGAGCCTGAGCGTTTTTCTGGTAGAGCTGGATCGGATTGGTTTTTAGTGAACCGCTGCCCTCTGGTGGTCAGAGCAGTGATCTGTCATGAGTGCAGTCATACTGTTAATGTTTATGAAATAATGGTTAACTGTGAGGAAAACACCTGTAACAGAATAAGTAAGCAGCCTGTAGATGGAAGATGGGTGATTTATCTGAGCAGCGACAGAACACTGATGATTCTATTCACTTCCTCATTTGTGTTGAAAGGTCATTTACATAATGTTTTTTTTTCTTAAGTCTACTTCCCATTAAGTGGGTGAGTTATAAACACTGTCCTGCTTTGTTAGCGTCACATCGGCTGTGCTCCCCAACAT